AAAGGGTGAGATAGAGGAGCCCACGCCCGGCCGAGGCGGCGAGACAGATAGGAGCCCGGGCACAGCCGAGGCGGCGAGACAGATAGGAGCCCGGGCACAGCCAAGGCGGTGAGGCAGAGATAGGAGCCCGGGTACAGCCGAGGCAGCGAGGATGGAGCTCAGAGCCGGCACCGCTGAGACGGGTCCCACAGAGATGTAGACACAATGGCCTGGGCAGGCGATCTGAGCGTTCCAAGGCCAGGTTTCACGGCTTCCTCCGAGTCTCCGCGGTGCAGAGGGGAGGCCGCGGCTGCCGGACCAAGCTGAGTGCGGGAGCTGCAGGGAAGAGAGGTCACCCGGGCTGAGCTCCGATCCTGGGCAGGGCCTGGGGCGTGGGGCTTGGCCTACCAGGATAGCCGTCCTTCTTTCACTTCTGAAACCTTTGTAAAATTACTTGCTCTGTCTTATCACTGTTACCATTTTTCTGTTTGGCCAGAGAGACAGAGAGGGAGGGAGAGTGAGAAAGCAAGCTGCCAGGTCCAGGATTTGAACTGCAGTCAGCCATGTGGGAGTCCAGCACATCAACCACCATGCCACCTGCTGGCCCTTCCAGACAGTCATCCTTTCAAGTGACCGCCTCTGCTTGTCGCTGAGGTCGTGTGTCCCTGGGGTCTTGGTAAGCCTGGCAGAGCTGGCCAGGGCTTCCAGGTGCTTCTGCCCCCCACCATGAGGTGCTGCCACGCCGGCAGGGCTGCCACTGCGAGTGGTCCTGAATGCCTGGCACGCCCTGCGCACTTCCTCTGTGACCTCTCTGAAAGGAGGGGACCACCGCCAGTTCACAGACAAGGACACGAGGCCGTGGCCTGTGCCAGGCCAGCGAGCGTGGTCACGTGGTCCCCTTCACTCCGAAATGTGCCTGAGGTCAGCACCCCTGGACCGTAGCCTCTTCCCACCGAATTCACTCATTCTTTCCGTGGCTAGGATTCAGTGGGTGTTGGGGCAGGGGGAGGTGGGCTTGGGGAGCCGGTGGGCACGGACTCACCACCCATTCAGTCCTCGGGGAGAGGTGACCACACTGCCTCCCTCGGGGCCAGCCGTCACCAGCAGACTGACCCTGACCACAGCAGCCAGCTAGCCCTTCCGGGTCAGTACTAGTACTCGGGTGACGGGCCATCTGACCCAGGCTGGCCCTGTGCGTGCCGTGGGTACCCTCGAGCCTCGGCCCCCTGGGCACTGCCCCCGTCCTGTGCAGAATCGCAGGTCACCCCTCTCCTGGGTCTGGGCTCAGCACGCCTGCTCACCGCGTGGGAGATTCTCGGGGCCGGGATAGAGAGCCGTTAGGGACACCCTGGGAGGATAAGGCCCTCCGAGGCTGGCTTTGCTGTCCCATCTGGGGACAGAGACCGGGCTGGTGACCCTCCGAGTACACGCATCTGTGGTCTCCATCTCTCGGCCTGTGCCTTCCAGGGTTGGGGGCCAGCGACATGTGGCCGTCGGCCTTGGGCTCGGTCCCACGCACCTCTTCGGCTGAAGCGCCCCCTGGGGTCTGTGTTGCGTGGCGCCCTGGGAGCTCTGTGTCTGCAGAGACCTAGCTCTGCCTCGGCGTCTCGGGGACGCGGGAGTCTCGCCCGCGGGGGGCCCACGCAGAGCCGTGCTCTTGAACTGGACCCAAGGCTGTGCCCCCGCAGGACGACCTGAGGACTGTGAGAGCGGTGGTTGGGAAGGCGTCGAGGACTGTGTTTGCTCGGATCCCCCGCCTCTTCTGGGTGAGCACCTCCTCAAGGCCCGGCTCCCTGGGAATGGTGGCAGGGCTCTTGCGGCTGGTGGTGGAGGTGAGGGAGACCAGGGCGCGACCTCCATCTGGCCGGCTCTGCAGGCTGCTGTCTGGACTCTGCCCTTCCCTGCTTCTTACCACGGGCATTGAGTGCCCCGTCTTCCCCCAGCCACAGTCAACCCACGTGTGCCCGTCCCTCCTTCACAGAGCCTTAGCCGGGGAATGACCGCCCTCGTAAGGACGTGAGGGGCGGCGTTCCTCGCAGTCAGAGCACCCTCTCCCCACCCCGTGTGAGTCTCCCCTTTCTTGGGGTTTTTGTGGCGGGAGCTGACATCTGGGGTTTTCTAAGCTGTGAAGCTAATGTCACTAAAAGACTTGCCTCTACCCTGGGTCTCATTAGAGCGTGGCCTCGCCGCGTAGGTGCGAGGAGGGGGTGGGGGCCTGGGCTGCCCATCCAGAGGCGGGCCTGCCTGCAGGGCATCGCACCCGTCCCGAGCAGCGGGCGTCCAGGGCGGGCCCTCCTGCCGCTACACGGACCCGCACAGCACAGGTGGCCCTCGGCCGAGCGCCCGGACCCTGTGGCCATGGGCCTCCCTGGGCCAGCGCCAGGTCCCACCTGCTGTGGAGCAGGAGCTTCCTGGGGCAGTGCCCTGGTCATGGCTTGTTTCTGAGCCACCCCAGCTGCAGGGCTCGCGGGCGGCCGGGTGAGCAGCAGGTGCACCTCCATCTACCGAGGGTGCCCCGGCCCAGGCCCTCACCTGCCCCACGAGCCCAAGCCGTCCTGAGCCCTGGAGGCCTCTTCGCAAGGACGTGGCATTTGGGGCATAAACGTGGGGTTAAGAGGCCAGTGGCAGGGAGGCAGGCCCGAGGACAGCATGGAACACGCCGGCACGTGTGCGTGCCTGCCCAGAGCCGATCTGGGCTGCAGTCTGGCCGGGTGGGGCACGGCAGAGGAGGCAGGCCTGCTGTCGCGGAGGGCGAGGGGCTAGGTGGGACCGCGTGCCCTCTGCCAGCTGCGGGCCTGGGCCTCCGTTCTTGCCTGCTGGATGAGGACAGACCTGACAGGGTTCTTGGAAAGTCTGACGGGATGGCACCTAGCCCGCCCAGCACCCAGACGCCCTGCCCGGGAGGGTGTGTGCTCCACACCGCGCCCCTGCACACCCCGGGAGGCTCCTGCTCTCAGCCTGCGCCGCTCTCTGTGGGGACGGCAGCTGCCCCGGCACTCCCTGGAGAGCGAGGGCAGCCCCTCCGAGGGCAGAGCGAGGCTGGGCTCCCTGCTGTCCTGGGAGACATGAGGGTGGTGAGGCCGGGCCTAAACCGGCCAATGCTCAGCGAGCACCCGCTGCAGGGACCGCCTCCCTATGTTCTCTGGGGGAGCAGGAACAGGCGTGGTGAGGTGGGACCCAGCCCCGCTGGTGAGCAGCAGAGCTGGGCGTGCTGTCCAGATCCCGTTCTTCTCCGCGGAGCTGGTGACGGCCCCTGCTTCCTGTCGGGAGCCATGGTGCAGGGTCTGCTCTGAGCCGCCCCTGGGTCTTCTGTGCTACCCTGCTTCGCTGCAGCCGACCTGCTGGCTCTGCCCCATCAACTTCGGACCCCGGGGCAACGGCTCATGGCGGGGCTCGGCCAGGCAGCTCCTGCAGACAACGTGGACCCCCTCCCGGCCGGCACCAAGCGCAGCCAGCACAAGACCCGGGCAGCATGGCCGCGGTGGGGCTGAGCAGGGCCGGCCCAGGCTCTCCACGCAGGGGCGTCGCTGTCCTGGTGTGTGTGCCGTGGCGGGGGGGGAGGGGGGGGG